CGTCATTTGTACATAGCTCCTTTGTCTAATATTGCCCTAATTATTCATGTGCAAGTAATTAAATAAGACGCTGTCAAACTAATTATAAGCAACTCGTTCCATTTATACATACATGGTCTGGCAGAGTTTTTAGCCCAAACGAGCCTGTTATCTTTGTTGCATGTACACCTGCTGATTCTACAATTGTGTGCCAAGTCTTGGAAAGTGCAGACACGTACACCTGCTAATTCTACAATTAGCATTTCTCTGTAATCTTGGTCCCACCTCTCTCCTGTGAGCCCATGACCATTAGTTTCTGGCCTATTTTTTGCATGAAGCTTATTATACCTGTGCTTCCATTTTTTTGGCAGATAACACGTGAGATTCTTGATGCTAATGTGCGATGGGCAAAGTATACAAACCCACCAGATTATCTGTTCGGTTTGATGGGGTCTAGAGATGAAGGGGATTGGGGGGATTAAATCCTTGCCAGTCAAAATTCCCTTCCAATTCCCTTGGTGGGGGGATTAGCCAAACAAGGCTTGAAGGTAACTAGCAGGTTTGTGCGCGGCGGCAGGCCGTGCTTCACTAATACATCTGCATATAAATTTTATATATTTGGCTCAAATGTGTTCATATTTTTTTTGTCTTGTTGGATAAATCTTTTCTTGGAGCTTTAAGCAGGAGGTCATTTATATGACAGGGTAAATGGTATTTTATATTGAATTGATAACAATCATAAGTTCGATGAATCGAAAATGGCACAGTAATGGTTTGGTGTACTGGAGTTTCTACTTAAACAATAGTTTTTCAATGAAAGGGATGACTCCCCCAATTTCATAACGAAACCAACTTTGTCTTACAACCAAAACGCACCACCGCCAACTTGGAGGACAGGCCCTCACAAGCCCATCCGCAGGGAACCTAGTTGATCAGGGCCTAGGTAAAGCAGTACTTAGACAATAGTGTTATGGTGATATCAAAGGCACAATTATAAACTTGATGTTTAACATTAGCGTGCATGCTGCACCCGTCACTTGTTGCTCTGCATTGGTTCTGATGTTTAGGCTGAGTTGGACAACACTTTCTGCCATGGGAAAAGGACACAATATGGTTGGTACAATCGTTGTCGCCTTAAGTCATTTTGTGAGATGTTAGAAAATGCCAAGTGCCAATTCACCTGTGCGGTGTTGATTGGTGTTACTGGTATAGAATGCTCCCTCATGTCTTTAAATAAACAATAATGTTCCACATGCTAGAACATAGAGAATCCTGAGTTTCTTTCTCCTCTTCCTAGTTGTCACAATGTTCCAATTAGTACTCCTAGCATACTTCAACTTATGTTGTGAATGTGCCCCTCCAAACACTGTGTAAACTCTACAGTCTATTTGTGTGTATCCAAGATTTGTAAGCCTGCACACCATTACGGTTGAATTTTGCTAAGGTTTATATGAGAATTAGGTATTTTTGATCCATGCCTTCCTAAAATGCCTAAATAATACCCTGAAAAATATGGAATCAACTGCTCTGTATGGTCAAATTGTATTGTCAACTTCAATCAACTTGTGTAGTACTAACTGAATAAGAAATCAGATTCTGAAGTCCTGGAACGAAATAGATCTCTGGTTTAGCAGAGGCCAGAAGGTAGAAACTCTGTGGCCAATCGAAAATCCCACATAAGCAAATAAAAAAAAACTAGGAAGCGGCACATATAACAGAGGACAAAAGAAAAATCCTGAGAAGAAATATTTCTCTTGTGTACATGCAGTATGAATATATAAGGCATACAGTAATAGCTTTGTAATGAATAGCTTAGAGAGTAAAATTAATCCACCAGTTATCTGTCAAAGCCAGGCTTTACAAAAATCAATTGAGCAAAGGTTAAGCGCTTAACATATCACAATGATACCATTTTTCACTAAAAAGTACAAATAGAGTAACAGATTCATGGTAGATATACTGCAATTGGTGCTCCTAACCAGTTGGCAAATGTTGGTTTGATATTAGGATATTTACTGGGTACCAATATGCTGTCTAGCATACAACAGGTGGTGTATAGCAACCATTAGGTGATTTATATCTACTACCTCCATCCGAAATTAGATGACACTCAAAAGGATGTATCTAGGTGTATTTCAGTGCTAAATACATCCGTTTGAGCGTTAACTAATTCCGGATGGAGGAAGTACAATCGTTTCCATCAGTAAAGAGAAACTGTGTTAATCCCATTTGGCGTACTATTTAGAAATTATCTTGTCCGGCGAAGGTTAAATTTTTTATCTGCCTGGCTTTGGATGACACTCTACCTTGTAGTGTTACACTTGCCAATTGACACATGAAAGTTTCGCCCTTTTATCCATCTTGTTCCTCCTGCCTAGAAGATATGAAACAATTGTTGTTTCGGTGCCATTCGTCCCCCAATGGCCTTTGTGAAGGTTAATGTTGATGTTTCTTTTGATCATGATTTTCTTAAGGGTACGGTTGGAGCGGTCCTGAGGGGCGATAAAGGAAAATTCATTGCAGGAGGCCTTTGGAGAATCAACTGGTGTGTGTGGATGTTCTCACGACGGAAGCTCTGCCGCTTAGATTCGGTCTATCCTTGGTGCAACGGACGGGATGTAATCGACTTGTCATTAATTCTGATATAATTTGGAGGTCATTGATGCCATGAATAATATAGTATGGTCAGTACGAGTGGCGGCGGCATTTTTGATGATTGTTATTTTATTGTTTGACTTTAATATTTCTAGGTTTCAACATTGTAACAGAGAAGCGAATAAGGTTTCTCATGAGCTTACTAGATTGGCTAGTTTTTCGACTGCACACTTGAGACTTGACACTTTCTCACATAGGTGATATATGCACAACTGTGTTCTGAGTGCTCATGATGAATCAGGGTCCATGGGTGCTAAACTGTAAAACCTTTGTAAGTGATGGGTGGTTTAAATTTAATAAAGTGGTGGGTTGTTTAAACTTAACTAACAGGGAATATGTGTCGATGATATTTCAATCCAAAAATGTAAAATATGCAATGTGTGTGAAATAGAGGTCTGGATACACACACACACACACACACACACACACACACATAGAGGGGGCGTGTCGTGGGACACAACGGCCACCTATGGGACCAGGATGGCCCCTTGCTGGTTCGGCAGGGGGAAGTCACGTTCCACAAAGAGCAGACCAACGCAAGGCAGCACGACAGGGATCGCACGGGTAGTTTTACCTAGGTTTGGGCCGCCGTGAGGCGTAAAACCCTACTCCTGCTTTGGTGGATTGATGGTGGAAATATGGTGGTGGTGCGTATTACACTTGTCCGGCAGGGGTTGCCTCGTGGCGACGGCGACTACGCGTGTATGGGGTTGTGAGTGGTCTAAACTTCTAACCTCTCGAATTGTTGCCATGGGCCTCTTTTTATAGATCAAGGGGTTATCGCAGTGGCAAATTTGTCACTAGACATTGATATGATAGCAAATGGTGCTATCATACCTAACTCTACAGGCTGATAGCGTGCATTTAATGCGCCGCTTAGTGTCACATCGTTGGTTGCCCGGAGGCTTGCCGGGCTAATTCGCCAGCTCCATGCCTGCTCGCTTGACACGTCACTGGACGGGTGTCATCTGTGGGTTTCCTTGGCAGGAAGTGGCCGCCATGTGGCGAATGGCTGTCACTTAATCATCCTGCATCTTGACACCACACTAATCGACGACGTGGGTCATGGTGGAGTAGTCGGTGAGGTGATTTGGTCTCCGCGAGTCCCGGCAAGGGAGGCTTCTCTCTTGATAATATCTGGCTCCTCTGTCTTAGTCTTGGTTCCTTCTGATATGTTAGTTGGTTCTTCAAGTCTCTTGGTCTCTTGCTCTGGTGCTTCAATCTTGATCTTGTGACTGTGCATAGTCAGGTCAACAGGCCCTGGGTCTGTTGCACCGACAGAAGCCCCTGGGCCTTCCCCGAACGCGCTGCCAAGCGTCGTCGGAGTAGGGCCTAACAGGTGCACAGGCAGCGCTGCTGAAGAGGCTGGACTCTTGAGATCTTCATTGCTTCTTCATTAGTCTTGATTTCGGGCCAGTTTCCGGTTTCCCCGCGCGTCGTGTAAAGCCAATAGTGGTGGGGCTGCTCCAGTAATGGCCCGTGAATGACTTTAACGCACGGGGTAGAAACTGCCAATTTGCTCTTCCCACCACACCCTTATCCTTAGCCACATACGCCGCATGCATCGCGCGGGGTTGGTAACGGAGGCGCGTGGCGTGGGAGAGCATAATGGCGAGGGCCCGACTTCCTTGAACTGGTGGAGGAGGGCGGTGGTCGCCCGCCGTGGATCCAGCCCCCAGTCCATCGCCTGCTTATAAAAGGGAGAGCGGGGGAGGAATGGAGGCATCCAACAGCATCCTCCTCTTCCTCTGTCTTGCTCCATCTTGAATATGCCAGGAAGGGGAGCCTGGGGCTGACCTCTAGGTTTTAGCTTCGGCTTGATAGTGCCAAGCGAGGGTGCTAGTGCTTGGGGAGTGAGCTTGGTCCAAGTCCAAGGTGAGGGGCTCGGGATCATTGGAAATCCCAGTATGGCCCCTCTCCTTGGAGTTGGGGTCGATGTCGACGAGGTGCGCGCCTTCCTGCCAAGGAGGGGAGCAGCGCGCTTCTCCCCCCTTGGCCGCCTTGGTCGTTTGCCGTCTCTCCGGAGAGGGTGCCGGGTTGGAGTCTCGGTCCTTTATTGGAATGGCATTGACGAAGGCGAAGTCAGGGGAGAAGGAGAAGACGGGAGACAGGCCGTCCAGTAGGAGTACGCCTGCATCGACGCGTTTTTCTCGTACTAGCGACCTGCTGCCCATCTGTTTGGCTTCTCCTCCCTTTTCCCGGTGCCGTCATCATCGTTCCTTGCGGCCGCCGGGAAAGGGCTCGTCCCCTTGGTGCTTCTGCTTCCCTCAGGGGGCTTCTGGCTAGGCCCCGACGTCTTCCTCTGCCGGTTCCTGTGCTAGAGCTCCCCCTTCGATCCCATGAGCGGTGATCAAGGGGCCACCGGGGTGCTCCGCACGCCTTCCTTCTTCGCAGCCTCGCCACTCCCGGTCTTGTCAGGCTGTGCCCGTCAGCCCTCGACAAGGATGGGGGTGGAATTGTGCTGGCACGTTGCCCGCCTTCTCTTTTCCCATCATGCTACCTGGGATGAGGGAGACGGGAAGAGGGGTTTTACTTATCTTTTTTCAATTTTAAACCTGTAGGCACTTGCCAAATTTTAATTCAAATAATGTAACCTCTAATGTCCGTGTTTGTGTTCTGTAATGCTTGTACTTGTATTTGCATGTTAATGAAAAAGATGAACCTTGCCGGGAACTCGCGCATGTGTACGTCCATGCAGAGGTGAGACGCCTCTTTAGTGTAAATAAATGAGTTCGCCCCGGTAGGCTATCCTGCCGGCCCCTCTTTTTGTCTGCCGGAGAACCTCATCTGCGGGGTTACATACAGAAGGGCCAGCCCCCCGCCAACT